AGTGACGATACACCGCTTCACATGACGGATATAGGAAGTGTGATAAAGGTCTATTAAGGCCATTTGTAACTATGGCTCATTCTGATTGCAGAAGATCTGACATACTGTGATTCTGAGTCAAATAATACTATGTTTGCATATACCGATAAGCACCATAGTAATACAGAAAGCCACATGATGAATCAGAGTTCAGTGGTCTGTCCATAAAACATGATGATGCACAGGGTCATAAACACAAAACACTAGCAGATACTATCAGGATAACACATGACACTATAATAATGCAATAAACATTCACTTACAGAAAATATGATACCTAAGGTAAATTATTGGAAACAAGCATGAGAAAAATTAAGATTACTTAAAATATGATAATATAATATAAAATAATCAAATCATCATGATTTGTTATGTGTGATGTGTTTCGTTTTCCACTATAAATTATACAGTAGTTCATATTTTTGCCTGTAAAACCCATACATTCAACAGTAATTTACAGTAAAATTACTTGTAATGTTATTTTTAAGAATATATGGTAAGGTAATTTATAATTAACAGGCTTTTACTGTAGCATATTACAGTTTACATTTTACAGGGGGTTGGGTAAAAAAAACAGCATAACAGAATGAATTTGAAAAAAAGAAAAGAAAAGGGAATTATTATATAATATAGTTAGATATAATGCAGCATTTACTTTCAGCGCATGGCCCTCAATCAGAATTGTCTGAATTTTGGCTTTTTATAGTTAATGATTGTGACACCTCAGCTATTGAGTGAAAAAAATCCCTTGGGTTAGTGGCCTGACATGAAATAATAGTCAGAAAAATCTAAGTTTTCGAAATGAAATGGAACAGTTCGTTGATCCTTTGCATGTGTTTTCTAAATATTATGATTTATGGCTCATAGTCTGATATGGTCAGACTATAGAAGAAGAAAAAAAAAAACAGCTCAGAGATTCAAATTATTCAGAGACTGAGCAAAAATATGCAACTTGGTGCAGATGCTGATATATATGGACAAAAAAGTAACATGAAATCCTGATGCTTGTAAATCAGTGAGATGTTTATAACAGTACAGCAGAACTGAAATGATCTAAATATCAGTCGTCGCTCTATATCTCCAGTAATCTGTCTCAGTAAGAAGAGATTGAAATGCTCCAAACATATAATGCAGTGATTGAGAGCTGAAGAAATAAAGGCTCACACTAAAAGAGCTTTTACTGCAACTCTAAACTATCAAACAGACGATGGTAGACCTGGAGGAGATTGCGTGTGAAGCAGGTTTAACAGCAGAGTTTGATCATTTACAGACCTCTAGACTGTGGGTTTAACATCTGTAAATCAGCACGCATCACCTTGACCTCACATCAGCATCTGCTCTGCTCTCACGCCGCAACACTCACTCTTTCACACCTCCTCTTCTTCTTCTTTATCTCTTTTTAACCACTCCATCGTGGCCGCATCATAATAGTTTTGTTTTTTTTAATTCTGTGTATGCGCATGAACGCGTTCAAAACACTAGCAGACATGAAGCTCTGTTTCAGCAGAGCCGTTTACTGCTTCCCTCCAGAAGTGATTTGAGAGTTTGAGATGAAGCGATAGTAGCTGACCGTTATACACGACCTATATCTATGACCTTTGACCCTCAGTAGAAATACGCCAGCTTTGCGCTCAGCAGAAATGCCGGTTATTTATTTGTCACTAATTTACGTCGCGTCTCTCCGGGTAGCTGTCGAATGTGCGGTGCTCGTTTGTGCCTGTTAATCTTTAATGATAACTGTCGCTTTAAAGTGACGTCATAGAGACACTAGAGAAGGAAATGTTACACTAGCTTTAACGTTGCTGCTTCTGAACGCTATCGACCGATGAGTAAAGATGCTACGCTTCAGCTCCGCAGTCTTCAGTTTGGTCCTTTCTAAGCACTTGGAAGATAAGCTGTCGCTTGAAGGTTCGTGTGTGTGCAACACTACATTACATGTAATGAGTACATGTACATTTTTTTACACTATGAAGGAGAGTCGTCCACTTTTTTTGTAGCAGCTTGCAACATAGGAGAACGTTTATGAATCAGACTGCTTTTGAAGGTCATTGATTTCCCGTTGTAGGAAGTTTCTTTTTATTATGGAGTCTGTTATTTTATTCATCACTCTTTATTATTGTGAACCAGTATAGTATTATTCAAAAGCGTGTCTTTAATACGCACCAGCGATACGTCACAAACCATGCAATTTCCTCTTTTTTTCTTTCCAAAATGAAGGATCGCTAAATGAAGTATTAGATTTGTTTTTTTGTATCTAATGTAAAAAACACAGGTTTTAAAAACAACATTGTACAGTTATTTTGTTGCTGCTTTTTTCTGTCATTTTTGGAAGCGTATTTTTTCCAGAAGAGTGAAAAAAAGCCATTTTTTGACATTTATGGATGGGTGCCTGTCGATCTTAAGGACTTTTAGAAATATATAAGTGCATATGAAGAATTGCAAGAAGTCTGGAGCTCCTGGCTGGAATAAAATCATGTCGATTATATCTCTGATGAGAAGGAGCTTCTGGTGGTTTTATTTAGCTGTTCCTGCCTTAACTGATGAATATCCACACTCGTTTGATTCTGCTGCAGGAGCGTATAGCCTTTATGAATGTGTGTCATACACTAATGAAGCGCTCTTTCTGTGCTTTTTTAGTGCATCACTTCTTGTCAGTATTGTCTCCATATGAAGGTGGTTTCGGAGCCAGAAATGAAGATTATTATTGTTTTGTTTATTTGGTTTTGTTTTTCTCAGATGCCAGCAGTGCGTTGCATGGCCTGCTGTTTTAAGATTGTAAAAATGCCATTTACCTGACAAATAAATAAATAAAATCATTTTTATTTAAAATCACAAGAGGATGATTCAGCATGCCTTTATTTCGTGTGTTTTTCCCATTATGCAGGCTGTAATGTCCCATCTCCTCCACAAGAGAGCAGTCTTCAAAAAAGTTTACAATTGTGGCATAAAACTCAAATAAGTTGCTTAATTAACTAAACTTTGGAGCAGGTTTACTGTCAGCAGTAGTTTGAAATTGCAACAGTAGCCTAAATTGTAAATGAATATATATATATTGCAAATAAGGGTTTTAAACTATTATTTAGACAGTTTGGTAACGACACATTAAATGCATATTTAATAAAACGGCTCATAAAATATTTAGTTGGATTTACTGAGGTAGAAAAGCAATGTGCTGAACAATATTCTGTTTAAGCAGCTCTTCATTGGCAGTCACTGGATGTATTAGAAAACAGCATGGCGTAATCTCAGTTTTAACTCATGATTATTATCTTTTTAATTTTGACGTATGGTAATTTTATTCTGTTTTATAATGACAATAAATATGGCAAAACAAACTAGTTTGTCGTCTTTGTGTTCCGTGACAGAGCTTCAGCCGAAATCCTCGTCTGATTTGGAGAGACTACAAGAGCAGCAAAAAAGTCAAATCTATAAATAGCCAGTATATAATCATAATATATCATAAATGTACAGTAAGAAAATCATCATGAAGGGCAACTCGTTTTCCATTTTCATTTCATCACACTTCTTCATGTTAATGTCCAGCTGTTAGCTGCTCTCACTTGCTCCAAGTTTCAAAATAGTCGTTTTGTAAAGAAATTAATAAATGTGTACAATATTTTATTCAGCTACAAAATCAAAATGATTGCTCTTTGCATCTGTCTATGGCATAATGTACAGGAAATGTGTGCTATGTATAATGTTGTGTCTGTGTTTAATTATCACAAACTGATCTGTTGATATGGTTCATTAAGGTTTATAGCAGGTGTTAACAGTCATTAACTAAAAATCTATAAACCAATAAAGAGTTTATGGCTGTATGCATGCAGACACAGATATTAAAAGGAAATATTTGCTATACAGTACAATAAAGACTATTTAATAAACCATAAATAGTATTATTGCATTAAATATTAATTCCACGCATACAATATTCAATGCCACATGAAAACAACGTGTTGTTTCAAACTTAGTTAATCAAGCCAATCTTTGAACTAATATGGTGCGATAGCAATAGAGATGATCACTCACAAATGTTGATGTCAGTCATGATCAACTCAAATGTACATAATAATGAAATACTAAAAGATTCAAACAAAATACACTGAACAAAATTATAAACGCAACACTTTTGTTTTTGCCCCCATTTCTCATGAGCTGAACTCAAAGATCTAAGACTTTTTCTATGTACACAAAAGGCCTATTTCTCTCAAATAGTGTTCACAAATCTGTCTAAATCTGTGTTAGTGAGCACTTCTCCTTTGCCGAGATAATCCATCCACCTCACAGGTGTGGCATATCAAGATGCTGATTAGACAGCATGATTATTGCACAGGTGTGCCTTAGGCTGGCCACTGATCAACTCTATGCGAAGGAGATGTGTTGCACTGCGTGAGGCAAATGGTGGTCACACCAGATACTGACTGGTTTTCGGACCCCCCCGGACCCCCCAATACAGTAAAACTGCACATTTTAGAGTGGCCTTTTATTGTGGCCAGCCTAAGGCACACCTGTGCAATAATCATGCTGTCTAATCAGCATCTTGATATGCCACACCTGTGAGGTGGATGGTTGATCTCAATGAATTCAATAAACGCTATATTTGTTTAAGTGAGAAAATAGAATGCTAGGTCTAAATGGATATTGTCAAGACATTTGATGTTTAACCCTACTTTGCATGTTACGCTAACTTAGTTAGATTTATATAACACATAGGGTTTCTGCAAATTCGGATTAAATTCCAATTGTTCATAATAGATGGCGACTAAAACATAAATGAAATCATATTAGCCAATGAAATATGTTAGATCTTGGCACAACTAAAAAAACATTCACCATTACATTTCCTTGAAAATTCCCACAAAATAGTCTTGGTTTTCCATGATTTTGATCCCTGTCCAATAGTTCTCACTCCAAACGTCTTTATTTCTTTAAATCGTGAGCCGCGTGGAGGTGCCAGAATACTTCTGCTTTTAAGGAAGTGAAGCGCAGCAGGTAAAGCGTCGCGTCGCGTGAGCGTGTTCCGATAAAAACCGCAGCGCGTCTGATCCTCGTCAGTCACATTTCCACGCAGTCCAGCAGCTGCGGTGTGTGCTGTCGAGGCAGTGCGCACTACAGAGTGAACACTAACCACTGCAGAGCTCTGACAGGAGAAGCGCGGGTTCAAACTTGCGCAGCGGCACAGACGGAAGACTGAAGAGAGCATAACGCTGAACACAGTGAACGGTAAGAGAAACAGCAGTCTACTAGTGATGTGTGTGAGCTGTAGTGAGAGGAGGAACACTTAGAAGTCTTATGAAGATGTGAAACTCGAGTTAAGTTAGATTTTTCCTGTCAGTGTTTATTGTGACGAGAATCTCGTTGTTCAACACCGTGTGACAGAAGGCCGCTCGATTCCTCTCTTTATGAAACAAACACAATACTCTATTGTGTGTCTGGCGACAAACACGACGCTCTTTCAGTTTCTTTTGAAGGAACGAGTGAAAGCTACTCGCTGTTCAGGAGCAACTATTCGGCTTTTAGGCTGCCACACTGCTTTTACTGCTACAGCGAGTTTTATACACAAGTTATGCAAAATCACTGCTTATTTTAACCGGTGATAAGCACCAGAGGAGGAAATAACAACACACTTTTCATCAAACACTGACTTGGGCTGCGTTTCAAAATCGTGTCAGCTTTCTAGACAGCATCACTGTTGAATGAATGATTGTTAAAGCCTCAGTTAGGAAAACTCTTGGTTGCAGTTAGGTTACATCACAAGATTGAAAATTAGAAACCATATTTAAAATAAAAACATAATTTAACCAAAAAAATGTATGGCATTTACATGTTTGAAGTACTGGAAATGTTAGACAAACAATTTGTATTGTACTTCTATTTTATGTTATTTATTTATTTTGCACAAATGAAATGAGTAGTGCCTTAAAAATTATATATATATTTAAAAAAAAAAATGTAAATAATGCTTACTGAAGCCTCCGTTAATCTCAGTAGCCCCACATGACCAGTTGAATAATGTAACATTTTTTAGGATTTTTACCCAAAAAATACATTACAAAAAGTGACTTGAGGGAGAGTTGTGTCTATATTAGGCCTATAATACTCAAGTCTCTGGAAAAAAAAAATTATCACAATGATCAAATTCTGTTTTTGACAGTGAAAACCAATGTAGTGTCACTATCGGTCGAATTTAGTTGGAATCATAGTTTGGTTTGTCAGAATTAAAACTAAACAACATTGTACTGAGGTGTAACTGCAGTTATCAAAAAAGAACAGACATACATTAATATTAGTGCTGTCAAAATCCAAAATAAAAGTTTTTGTTTACATAATATATGTATGTGTGTACTGTGTATATTTATTATGTATGTATAAATACACACACATGCATGTATATATTTCAGAAAAATATGTTAGGTTTATATAAAATATATTTATTTATAATAAAAAAATTATATGAATGTAAATATTTTAAAAATATATACTGTATGTGTGTGTAACAAACAAAAACTATTATTTTGTATGCGATTACTTGTGATAAATCGTTTGACAGCACTAATTAATATACTTAAACAAATAGCATAGTTCACTTAAGAATAAAAACTCATCATTTACTCGTTCATTTCATTTGAAAATGGCAAAAGGCAACTAAAATGTATGTGCCTGACGCACCATAACGTCATTGTGCATCAAACCAGCACAGTTGAGTTTTCATTGATAAACTTTGTGTGTTGTTGATCAATGTAAATTAAAGGAATAGTTGACTCACAAATGAAATTAGCTGAAAATGTGTCTACATTTCTCCAAATCTGATGAAGACACAAACTCATCCTAATCTTGGATGGAGGGTGAGCACATTTTTAGCAAAGTAAACCACTAGATTCACACTTTTTGAATCTCATAAATTAGTTTTTGTTATGTTCACTACAAATGTAGTTCATTGTTTTGTTCTTATTTTGTTCTCCATAATCATGTCGGTTTGAGTCATACGCTTTGTTCATTTTATGTCAAAATAGAGCATAAATTCTCCCTTGTTTTGATATTTTGAATTCAAGGTCAGAATAACATTATATCTAATACAGAAGTCATCAAGTCGTTATCCAAGAAAAATACAGTTGATAGTTTCTATTTTGTCTGAACTCTGAGGTTACATTGTAAAGCAGAGAATGAAGGCAATGTGTGCTTGATGATGAAAACAAGTTGCATGCAAGAAAGTCCAGAACTATCAATCCTATTACGGTATGATTAAAACTGCTTGGCTTTTCCATTCTTTCATACAGCTCCTCGTGCTTCTGCTCTGATTTAGGGTTTATGAGGGGATTGTTCAGGAACTCTGGTCTAAATATAATGAAGCCCACACATCAGGCTTCTTGAATCATGGCTGTCTATTGGGTTCCTGGTAATAATTCTCACTTACTGCTGAATCACCCTTGTATTTATGCACCATTCCTGCCTGTGTTAAGGGTTTATTTTCCTCTCAGATGTGTTCGGTTTATCCAGAAGTATAATGTGTCACTGCAGAACATTAATGTGTTACTATATTGCAGAAATTATTTGAGCATAAATTGAGCTGCTCGACTCAACGTGACATTTATGTGGTATTTCCAATAACTCTTTAGAGAAGTAGCTGAGAAGGATTGGGAGGAAAAAGCAAAAGTGGTTTCTGAATTAGTTAAAAGGTGAAGTCTGTCATATCTGTGATGATTCGGAGCTTCCTAAACTAGGATTCACAAACTCCTGTGGGTTGATGAAAAGCTAATCACTAAATGAATCATGAAAAAAAAAAGAAAATGTATAGCAAATCGATCATTTTAAAATGAAAACAATTCAAATAAGAGATGATTATTTTTGTATCCTCCTTCCGTGAGTGAAATAACGTACTCCTGTATTGTTCCTGTTTTGAATCAGTTGTAAAGGGTTTAGTGTAGTAAGTCACAGGCCTTCAGCTTCATGTGTTTTCCTTCTTCACTCTGGATTCTGAGCTGCTTGTCATATTTTCCATTCTGTGGTGTAAAATCCTTACAGCTCCCACTTGGCTGATGGGAGACAAACAGCGCTTCAACTTCACTATCTAAGCGCTTTAACTAGACTAAAGTGTTCTGTACATGTTTGTATTTTCTCTTCATCTTGTGTTTTTTCCAACCCCAATAGGTGACTCATATTTCCTGGAGTTTTCTCTTGGTTTATTATGATTAGTTTTGAAAAGCATGGTTTCTAGGTTCAGTGGTTGCTCCAGCTTCAGTTTTCCTCTGATCCGACAGTTTTGATTTGGTGATTAACTGGTAATGGACAGCCTGTTGGTATTTTTGGTCTTCAGCCACTCCAGACACTTTATTTTACATTTATGCATTTGGGAGATGTTTTTATTAGGGATGCAGCCAATCAATTGTTTAGTGGCCGATTGTTTTAAAGCCAATGATCAGGGCCCGATCAAAAGCGGGTGGGAAAAAAAGTGTCAGACAGCAACTAATGTGTGTAGAATTTAGGGCTGTTGAAGTTAATGCAATTATAATGCATGAATGAAATCTCACTTTAATGCTTTAAAAAAATAGCACAGTTAGCACAGGCTCTTTGACCTCATGAATCACCTGTGGTTTAAACCGGGGATGCCAAGTCCACAGTTTTTCCCTTCACCAGACATTATTTGTAATACACCTTCCCATCCAGTAATCGCATAAAACTTTGTGATTTGTTACTTCTGATATGAAACAAAGTCTCAGCGGTCACATTCTGTCCATTTTATCACGAAATTCAAACATAAAAATGTTGTTTTGATGCTCTTAAATGTTTCAACTGTGGAAAAATAGAATATCTTGTGATCTGTATGTCACTTTACTTCGCATTTACCTCAGGAAAGTTATCCAATGTGCACAGTTGGTTAGTTGGATAAAAAAATACAACAACTGCTACTTATACAGAGCTGGGTAGATTACTTATAAATCGTAGTCCATTACTGATTCTAAATGACATGAAACTATAAAACTGTAGTTAGTAATGTAATCCACTACATTATACATTCACATATTTTAATCGATTTTCAACCGGCTCGCAGTTATTCGTTACATCCCTATTTTTAGGTAATGTAATCTGACTGCTTTTTGATTACATTTAGATTACTTTTGAACTACCTCTAAATAGGATAATTGTGTACCATATTGATATAAAAATACAAAGAGAAAGAAACATGAAGTGCATTAAACATTATATTAAAAGTTGGCAGATGGCATTCTGAATAATCACTATAGGTATCAGCAGAGAAATTTAGTATTGTGCATTTCTAGTTTTTATCTAAAATTACTTACATTGCATTTAAAGTATACATTTAATCAGTTCTTGCATACTCTGGAAATCAAACCCATAGTAGGGCACTATAACAAACTGTAGGAAATGAACCTTTCTGTGGATAAAATGTACTTCTTTATTTTGAATAATCGCTGGGATCAGATCATGTTCCAGAATCACACACAAGTTCTCACTTTTACATGTTATTTGAACATAAATGTGTGTTGGCAGTGTTTGTACACATCCATCCTAATGATAAAACTCCACTCAGTGGTATTTCTTAAATCTCTATAAATAATATCCTCTTTCTCAAATCAAGTCATTCTCAGATTCTTGGCTGTGTGACGTCACACAGACCCAGGCCCCTCCCACAATTGTTGATTGACGCTGGTGTTTTAGCTTAGCTCCGCCCTGAGTGAGCTGTCATCAGTCCGCCATTGTTTCACCGTTGGAGCAGATGTAGACCAGAATGACTCCTAAGCGATTGAGGTGTTCTGTTGTTGGATGTAATAATGAACATAGCAGTCGTCATTTACTCCTGACATCTGAGCCGCTGAAGACACAGAGGATTACGTTTGTTTCTGAAGGGAATGCGCCGCCCGATCTACCTAAATGTGTCTATGTTCGCGCGAATCATTTGTGATCCAGCTTCACCTACAGAAGAAGTGAGTATGAGGTTCTTTTATGAATCTTTGCAAATTACCTTTCCTAATAATGTGCTACTTAGCGAGTTCCACGGCTAAATTAAACAGTCTCATGAGGACAGCTCGTCGCCCCACGGAAGAGAGGGGCGGGGTCAGCAGAGCTCATTAGCATTTAAAGGAACATGCACTAAAACGGCTTGCTGTGAACAGAGCTGATTTTGACAAGGTAAAATAAAGTAATAAACCCAAAGAAGCCGTGGTTTACAGTGAATTTATAACAGCTAAGGGGCGTTGTTAGGC